TTGCAAACTGCTGTGGTCTGTCATGATTTTGAAGTGGTATCCTTCTATGTATGGACGAAATTTCTTAGTCGCCCATACGACTCCGAGGCATTCCCGCTCCGTCACGCTGTAATTGCGTTCGGCTGGGTTTAACTTTCGACTTGCGTATTCTATAACGAATAGCTGTTTGCCGGCTTCCTGGAGCAGTACTGCTCCTAGCCCTGTGTCGCATGCATCTGTGTGGATGACGAACGTACCGCCAGGTCTCGGGCATTGCAAGATTGGGGCTGAAATCATTATTGCTTTCAGCCAGTCGAACGCAGTTTGTTGGGATTCGGTCCCTTCGAATTTCCTACCTTTCTTTTTTAGTGCCGTGAGTGGTTCTGCTATTACCGCGTAGTCTTTTATGAACCTACGGTACCAGGAGGTCATACCTATGAACTGTTCTAATTGGTGAAGGGTTTTCGGGGCCGGATAGTTGACGACTGGTGCAACTTTCTCAGGATCCGGCCTGATCCCGTCCCTATTCACCAACAGTCCTAGGTATCTAACCTCCGATTTGCAGAACTCGCATTTTTCGTGGTTCACTGTGAGGTTGGCGTTTTTTAATTTTCGAAGGACTATTTCGAGGTATTTTTTGTGGTCCTCGAAATTCTCGGTGACTATTATAACGTCATCTAGGTATCGAAAAACGTTAGGTTCGAGTTCGAATCCTATTATACTGTCTATTATTCTCTGGATGGTTGCTCCCGCATTGCACAGCCCGAATGGCATCCTATTGTATTGGAAAAGGCCCATTCCTGGTACGGGGAATGCTGTTATGTGACGTGACTCCAGAGACAGTGGGACCTGGTGATATGCTGAGCTTAGGTCAATCGTGGAGATGAATTTGGGTTGACTTAGCTTCTTTAGTATGTAGTCCATAAACGGGATGGGGTAGGCATCCTTTTTGGTGATGGTGTTGACTTTGCGGAAATCTATACAGAGGCGGTACTTTCCTTCTGCTCGCTTGATTAATACTATTGGGCTAGCCCATCCGCTTTTGGATGGTTCTACTATCCCTTTTAACTGTATATCCATCACCATTTGTTGGATGATCTCCTCAATTTTCTTGGATACTTGGTATCCTCTCTGCCTTATAGGCTTTGCATCGCCGACGTCAATGACGTGCTCGAAACCTTTCACACAGCCTAGTTCTACGTCTGTTTCTCCTAGAATGCGCGCGAGTTTTTGAATCTCAATTGGCCCGAGTCTGGGTCTATGTATGAGCGAAAGGCTCTGATAAAGTTAACGCCGAGCAAGCAGTGTTCGTTTATGTCCGGTACTATTCCTACCCGGATTTGTTCGGTAACGCTAGCTACTGTAAAGGGTAAGCAGACGTAGCCTAGAAATGTACACTGGCTGCCGTCTGCCACTTGGACTGTGGACGATTGTTTGTGTTGGAGTCGTAGACCGAGATGCGATGCGATGAGGAGTCCCATGCTGCCCATGGCTGTGCTGGAGGCTCTGGTGTCGTACAACGCTCTAATTTTGAAGTCGCCTATTTTTACGGGGAGCCACCAACGAGTGTGATCCTCGGGATTGTATGGCCGGCTATGTTTTTTCCCATTTTCTGTTTTTTTCTACGTCACTGATAGCTTTAATTATTTTGTCTTCGAGGATTCTTTTTTCCTGTGAGACTGTATCAGCTTCAGAAGAGAAAATATTTGGTGAGAGAGTCTTCGTAGCCGTTGGCTTCTCCTTGGTTGGCTGACTATCTGGGACCTCGGTCGGAGTCAGAGCGCTAGGGTTCCTGTCTAGTCGCTCTTCTTTTGGTTTTTTGATTCCCTACAATCTGGGCATGAATATTTGCTATAGCCCAGATTTCCGCAATTGTCACATTTGAGGGGGCCATTGAAGTGTCTCCTTGATGGTGGTGATTTTTTACCACCTGTTTCTTTATCGGGCTTTTTGTTTTTTATAGCCTCTTTATCATTGGCGGCGGTTTTGTTATCAGCGCACATGTTTTTGAGTTCCTTCCTTACATCATTTTTGAAGTTATCCAGGTTAGTTTGCCATAACTTGGTCAGCTCTTGAAGTAACTCGTGCTGTGGCTTTGGCAGCCATCCCTGTCCTACCGCTGTTACTTTGGCTTCGCAGTCCTCTTTGGGAGCTTTGTATGCTAGCTCCGGTAGCAGGGCTTTGGAGGGTTCTGGTGGCTGTCGGTATAGTTCCGCCGCTGACAGTGATTCTTCTGCTTCTATCGCCAATTCGAGCAGGTCTTCTATCGTTCGTATTAGTTGGAGCTCGACGGGCTCCTCCCTCTTGGTGTGTCCACCGTGGTAGGTTATGTGGACCAGACATGCTTGGGTGTGGCGTACTTCCTAGGGGTCAGTGCGTATCTTCCGTCATGAACGTTTGGAATTCCACTCGGCGTCTATCGTCAGTTTGCCGTTGCAGCTGCACGATATTGTTCCGTAGCTCGATTATTTCCCTGTTGCTACCGTTGTAGCTATTCTGGAGCTCGCCAATCTTTTTGATGATTGTATTGATCAGGGCTCCGAATGTTCTTGGGATTTGGAACGGGCGGTTGTTTTCGTCGTGCAGTATGACGATATCTTCGTCCGCTTCGTGGTTTTTCGTGCTGTTATGTGCTTCTTGTTGCATATTTTTGGTGATCTGTTGTAAGCCTAATGAGTTGTGTGTTTCATTTTACTCGATTCTTGGTGCTGTTGTTTTGTTCAGGTTTTCCTCTATTGATTCGTCTTCTAACAACTGTTTTATCAGGGTTAGTGTTCCATCAAGTGAAGCTTCAGTTGAGCCTTCTTTTTCTTGTTCTTCAAGGAATGTTTGACGGAGAGTGACTCTCCTGGACATTGCTTCTGTTGTGTTTGCGTCGTCGACGAAGTCGGATGCTGTATGATTACCTAACATCCATTGTTGAAATCTGTTTATTTTGCATAGCCGTCTCCCGTCTTTTCGCATTTCCAGTTGTCGGAGTCGTTCGTTGAGGGTTTCCTCGTCCCAATCCAGTAACCAAGCTTCGGTTGCGTTGATTATTCTATCCATGTTACTTTTTATTATTTTACTTTTTTAGGGTTGAACGACTCTCAGTTTCTTATTACTAATCGCGAGATTCGTTAGAGACGTTCAAGCCTTCTGCGTATAAATCTATTTATCTATAAAATGAGGTGAATTACTTAATTTATTTCACCAGGTGTTGTGAAAATTGTATAATTAGTTATAAATAATAATTAACTGTTGTTATTTGTAATTATTCGCTGAACGTTAGTCAACGGCTTATTGTTAGTATGTTGTTGCAAATTTTCGAGTAACGTTGGGTGAAAATAATAATTATATGTTGAGAATTGTAATTAAAGTATCAATATAGTTAATGCCGAAAGAAAACTAAATATCGACAATTTATTCTTTGTTGTAATTTTAGTATTAGTTGAAAGAAATTGCGTTCTTTTGGTTTATATACATTACATTGTCAATATTTCGTTTGTCGTTACTGTTTTTTATATGCTATATTAGTATTAGTAAAGATTGCTCGACCTTACAAATTTTCGATTACATTGAGTTTGAAACAGTAATGACCTTTCCGCATCAACACTTAGTAACATATAGACTCTTGTCGCGAACTTTATGAAAATAATTTTTTATGTGGAAAAATAACAAAAGAAAGATCATTCATACTTGCATACCGCACACCTATTTAATTTTGATGCTCACAATGCGTCACCACTAATGCAGAAGTGCCCTTCAGCTTCTAAAAGTACCTGCGAGTCTTTTTACGGACTGTGGCTTCACGTGCACGTCTTAAAGTGCGCGCCGCTATCGCGTCCTTTTACGCGTGTCTTGCTTGTTTTTCGCTTTCGATTGTGCTCAGGCGCTTCCGTTGCTGTTCGTGCTTTGCCGGAGAAATGTTTATATTCTCTCCTACTTTCGCGTTTGTTTACGTTTCGAGGCTCTGTTTGAAACGGTACGACTCGACCTTGTGTTTAACCGAAATTGATTATTCTATTATGTTGGGCGCCAGTTATAACGGGTTTATTACGTTTATTTAGAGAGGCGGGGGCCATTATAACGTCGGAACACTTACCGGCTCCGACTTTACACCCGCTCTGCCGCACTGCTAGGTATCATTCAGGGAGCGGGAATCGAAATAATAACGCGAGGGAGATTAGGTAGAACTTCTCGTATATTATCACCAAGTAGAACAAAGGAAAATTACCGAGGTCGAGCCGCAGACGCTAGCGCGGACGAACGAACGAGGAGAGCCGCAATTACTCTCGCGGACAATCTCACGCGCACTCACACTCACTTTCCACTCTCGGCACGCGCCCCGTCGTGTGCCTCGACGAAGTTGCAGACACGACGGGCAACGGTGTACACAAAGGGAAGTACTCACGGCGCTCCGTCTAGTCGCAATCGCGTATGCACTAGCTGCAGCTTCTGGGCAGTCGGTGCTGGTGTCCGCCTGCTGCGATGATGTTTCGACGAGAAGGTAGATCGGGCTGTTGCTGTCAGAGATCGACTAGATAACGAGTCGGCGGAGAGCGTAGTCACAGGCGAAGAAACACGTGTTACACGAGCGCGGGAGCGGATCGGCAGGTTAGGTACGGAGGTGTTGTGGCTAAGGCAGACGACTTGGTAGTGGAGCCGGTTGGCGGCTCCCGCTCTTGCGGGGGGTAATGTCGGTTCGTTACCGACTGATGGGGTCTTACGCGTCCCGTTACAAAATCTATATTTTTTAAATTACTATATCGGCTTATACAGATGATTATTATTTTTTATTTATTTTATAACATCACTGATATATCCAACTAATATATATATTAAAAGGCATGTCGTGGCCAATGAAATAAAATGTATCTGACGTAGTACATATTGAAAAATATGTATATATTAATATGATTTGAATAGCTATTCGCCTGGATTTCACCTTTTGTGAAAGTTATAAGTAAACTAAAAGAAAGAGGGAATGGGAGATAAAAATTATCAAGAATATATAATTATATATTTAATGTAAAATACAGGCCACAGATGACCATGGTAAAGGACAGATAACAACAGTGCCGCTACGGTTAGATCTAACTGATGCAAACGATAGTCCACCCAAGTTTATACAATCAAATTGGAGAGCAGTAATCGACGAGGGTGCTGATGTGTTCGAGCCACCATTGCGCATTCAGGCGTGCGACCCAGACAAAAGCTCTAAAATACATTACTTGATAGTGGAAGGAAATGATCTTGGCGTCTTTAAAGTCGATCCAACTACAGGTGAAATCACGATTGTCAAACATAATCTTCTCACCGCTACAACTAACGTCAGTGATGATGTACTTACACTCACGGTCCAGGCAAGCGATGGAACTTTTGCTGATGAAGCCGTTATTAGTATCACTGTACGCGACGTCAACAATAATGCTCCTCGTTTTGCACACGATTTCTATACTGCCAGTATCTCCGAATTATCAGCTCCAGGTTTGAATCAACTTGCAACAATCCTCTATCTTTAATTAGAGACAGGAACTGATTATGTCATAAGAAAATTTTTTTGTTATGATAATTTTCAGTTAATAATTCTATACTCTACTTCTATAATTTAATCAGTACAATATTTAGTTTTGTAAAGTGAGCAGTCAAATATACAATATTGTTTTATTATTATAATTATTATTAATATTATATTGGATTTTGTTAACCAACCGGTTATTCATATACAAGTTACTCCAAAAAATTTATTAGTAGACTTTTCGGGGTTGATTATTATATATATTTCAGTCTAATCACGCTTATTGGTAGAACTCTCTCGTGTAATTGCATCATTTTATATGTTAATAGGATATATAGGACAAGTTTTTTAATCTATGGACCTGACTATCTTCCAAACTACAGTATCTACAAAAAATAGTTCAGATAAAAGTTAACGAGGACAAACAGGGCCATTTAATTGTGTCAATAGTTTTGACTTTGAGGTTCATTGTAAAGGTTATTTCAACGTCATAATAGTTTTTTAAGTAGAATACGTTATTTTTGACTGCAAATTTTTATAGAATTAAAACTTTTATATCAAACTTGACTTTTCAAAAAATTCTTTTTGCAATCTTGGAAAGGGCAAAATGAAGGTATCATACCTGAAAAACGATATGATGTACTTTTGCTAAAATGGCATAGTTTTTCAGATAACACTATTGTTTGAAACAAATTAATGTATTGTAAAAGTATAAATTCTTTGACTAGCTTGACCTTCAGGTCAATTTTCAAGGTTGTATGGTTATAACGCATTTTTTGGTTAGTAAATTGGTAAACCTTATATTCGATTGCAAAACCAGTTTTTTCGTTTTGAAAGAAAGACTTTTTATATGAGCATAGGGACTTTTTAGTTTTTCGATCTGACCTTTTGGAGTTTATAAGGTTATATTAAGGTCAAATGTACTTTCATATTACTTTTAACGTTATACGGAAACAACAACGTGGACTAGTGAGTTCTGTTTCCTTTAAGGTGCTTGTTTAAATTAAATTTAACTTAAGTTTAGCTTAAATTTAAGTAATTGTTCAAAATAAAAAATCAAAGTTCAAATACTTTATTTTTTCTATCCTCCTTCTTCTTTATTTTTTCTATCTCCTTATCAATTTTAACTTCAGAGAATTTTATAAGCTTTAAAATGTATGTACTAATATAAAACCTTCTACATTATAACAATCAAGCTAAATTCAGAGGAATAAAATCTACAATTTTATATTCAACAACATAAGTAATAACTCAAAATCTATCGGAAGAAATATCTTACTGGGCGCGTTTAATGAAAGAAAGGTAAAACTTGAAAGGCAGTTCTTGAAGTAAACTTCAACATTGACCTCAAGATCAAAACTATTAGTACAATTAAATGATCTCTTCTGTTCTAATCATCTTTTATCCGAAGCATTTTTTTATAAATACCGTAGCTTGTAACATATTCAGATCCATAGACTAAAATAACTTATTTTGTCGTATGTGTGTGAACCAGGAATTTTATTTCCATCGCAATGTTTTATATTTTCCCTAAGTAAAGTGTAATTATCATACAGATAAATTGATGCAATTGTTTTAGGTAGATAATGAATGGTTTTATTTAATCCTCTTATGGTTTTTTCCATAATTTTGTGCGTACCGCTTTCAATAAGCTAATTGTTATATTAATAAGATAACTACTCATTCTTCACAGGTAACATTGTGGAGGAGCTCTCAGCCACAGACGCTGACAGTGGCCTTAATGCTCAGTTAGTTTATAGAATTCAGAAAGGCGGCTTCAATGACTTTGTTATTAACAAAACGAATGGTGCAGTTTACATTTCGCGTATGTTGGACTATGATCAGCAAAGTGTTTATCATCTAGAAATAATAGCTTCCGATCAAGGTATACTATGAACTTACTATCATTATTGTCAGTGCCAAACTTTCTCTAATTGCTGCTAGTATTAGCTTGTGATTAAATTTACTTACGTTGTTATTATTAGGTTACTATTATTAATAGTCTCTATTAAAGTCTTTAATATTTATAATTACTTGTGTTTAGTCGGACTTATAGATTTAAAAATTTCGTAAACAATATGTGAATTTTTGCTTGTTTAAGTACTCAATTGGAACCATTTCAAAAGACTCTCTCTAATATATCTTTATTTGGAATTAAAATAATCATGTAACTAATTTCTGCAAAAAAGGATTGTAGGAATTTTTTATTATATTTTTTTATTTACATTTTATTTCTCGTTTCGTTCCGGTCAAAAGATCACACGAATGGACATCTCTTTTTTCTCACTGATTTTGTAATAATACATTGAGTAATTAGGTAACTCGATTTTACCTTAGGTGTTAACCCATGAAAAGTATCATCCAGTTTTCTTCCCAAGTAGGACATATAATTTTTCCGTATACCAAAATATCCGCTGGTGGTGTATATGACTTTTCTCCAGGAGTAAGCGATAGCAAAAGAAATTGCAGCTATGCATGTGTGAAAATCTTTCTAACTAAGACCACTGGATTTGAGTAAGTAAAGACATCACTTCACAACTAGAAACGTGGAAAAATACTGTTTTAGCAAAATTCATTTAATCTATTAACTTATTATAGATCACATATAAATTCATATGGCCAAAATTCAATTATGATTCAAAAAATCTTTCCATCTATTCGTCGAGACTTTGCACTACAATTGTAATTTTAATATGCGAGATAGATAGATAGATAAGGTTTATTGAACCATGAGGTATAATCCCGTAGGCTTTGAGCAAAATACAAAATAGATACAATAAATTAGAGCGCAGTAATAGGCAGTAAGATTACACAACTAATATTAACTTAAGGTTAAATTAGGTTAAGCGTAATATGTAAAGAATGTGAGAGTGAAGTTATGATGCATACATAAAAAAAGAAATAATACAATATTCGCACGGGGTAGAGAGAATAGAGCTAAATTAATTGAGAAAAGATTAGGTGATGAGATGAGGTGAGATCATAAGTCGTGGGGTACAAAATGAAATAAGGTAAATTTAAGTAACTAGATGAAAACAGGCGGACATAATACAATACAATATACTCAAGAGAGCAGACCGAGCACAAAATTAAATCACCAGTCAAAGAGGATAAATGAAGCTAGCGTACAAGTTATTATACGTGGTGGTCAGGTAAATTCGATTTAGGAATGAATTCGTTCAGCCTGGTGAGAGGCAAAGGTGATAGTGAATGTAGACTATGGATCGAAGAGTGGATGTAAGGATAAGTATTACACTGAAGAGTTGAATGAAAGAAAATTGCAGACCAGTTAAAGACCAGGTGATAGGAGGTACTTTGATGATGAGGCAAAGGCAGAAACGTTGAAAGGAAGAGGGATAGATGGTAGTTTCAGGAGCAATGGAAGATTAATGAGGTGTTCAGCGTCAGTCCTGTGGCGAAAAAGGAGCTGTTTCATCACCATGAAGTAGCCATACAACCAGCGCTTGAGATCAACATAGCGAGTAATATCAAACTCGGTGATGGCCAACTGGTTGAGGAGGTACATACCATAAGTCGCTGCCGAAAACCTCCAAGCCTCAGTTTTTGGAGCAGAATATGAGAAGGCCATAGGTGGATTACAAGAAGAAGGCTTCAGGTTGGGAGGATTTGGAGTTTTGTAAGGTAGCTCGGATATTGTCAACATACAGTTTCGTATGTGCCAAGGATGAGAGAGATGTTGCGCTGACTCTCAAGAGATAGCCAGCCCAGACGCAATCTATGAAAGGTGACATGGGAGTCAATGCTTGGTGTGGGAATGAATGGTATGAAGTCTGTGATGAATCTGAGAGAAGAATTGAAAGCGGTTTGACGGGCTAGAGTTATGGACTTGTTAATTTTCATGAAGGCTATGGAGACATATGTAAAATGGGGAAATATTAGTGCTTGCACCAGGTATTTCCTTGTCTCAATGGTGAGTGACCTTCTATGGAACTTCAGGGAGTTTAAGCCAAGGTGAACTCTCTTAACAATGTCGGAGATGTAAGGTTTCCATTGAAGAGTTGAGGTGATAGTAAGTCCTAGACTTGTAACTGATGATGAGAATAGTATCTCAACATCATCAACCTTAAGCCTAGATAATAAGTTAAGGTATATAGAGATAACATAAAGCTCGCTTCTAACAATCATGACCTTTGTTTTGGCAACGTTGAATTGGAGACCGTTTGCTCGCACCCAGTCCACAACCGCCTGAGCATCCAATTGGACCTTCGTAAGCCCCTCAACAATCTGGGAAGGGACGCAGTGGTGGTAAATCTGGGTGTCATCAGCATAAATGAGGTGCTTGCAGAAAAAAAGCACTCGTGGGAGATCATTAATGATAATGGCGAACAATAGCAAACCAAGGACGCTTCCTTGCGGGACACCTGTCTGTGCATGTAACTACTGAGAAACGGAATCCTCATAGTCAATAACTGCCTGCACTCTGTCGGCTAAGTAGCTAAAGAACCAACGAAGGACGGAATCACCAATATGACAAGCTCTCATCTTAGTAACAAGCAGGTTATGTTATATTATCGAAGGCCTTTGAGAAATCAAAGAGGACAAGGATGATAATTTGTCTCTTATCAATGACAAACCTTATGTCATCGAGGATACCCACCAAGGCGATCTCAGTAGAGTGTCCCTTCCGGAAACCGGCCTGTTTAGGCTCTAGAAGATTATTTGCATCTAGATGGTTAGAGAATTGGTGTAATAGTCCTTCGAAGATTTTAGAGGGTTCAGACAACTGCGCGATAGGCCTAGTATCAGAAGGGGACTGGGGTGATCTGACTTTGGAGAGAGGACGAATGAGGATACGCTTCCACGTGGAGGGGCTTCCACGTGGAGGGGAAGGTGGATGTTTCAATAGACTTGTTAAAAATTTCGGTAAGGTTTCAGGCTAAAGTGTCTAGTCCAAGAAGAAGCATCCCTCCCGTGAGTCCATCACAGCCTTTTCCTCTAGAACGCATAGCTTTGATCTCGGTCTCAACATCAGATTGTGTGATTTTTGAGAAAACAAAAGGAGGAAAAGAAAAGGTGATGTGCAGGGGAGAATTACAAATATTGTCAAATTTAGTGCTGAAGATCTGTTGACAACTGTGGCAAAGTGTTTGTTGAGTTCGTCAGCTGAGGAAAAGAGCAGTAGTGATGATACATGCCGAATGGCTAAGCCCATATCATGAAGGGTCCTCCACTTAGGTTTTGAGCTATTGGCATGCTCAATGTTATTGCGGATGTGGATATTTTTCTCTGCGTCAAGCTCGTTTGAAATAGCATTTCTGAGTGAACAATATTGTTGAAGGGCCAAGGATAAGCTGGAAGCTCGAAAGCGTCTGTAGGCTGCATCACAAATTCACATTTGGGCACGTAGTTTATCAATTATCCAGAGCTTCTTTTCCGCGGAGATGGTGACAAGATTAGAAGGAGCAAGCTCATTGAAAGGAGCACAAACCGCCAAGGTGAAAATTTTCTCATGTCGATTGACTGAGGTAGTGACTGGATGTAATAAACCACCCGAGTAGCTCGAAGAGACAGAGAGTTTGCTGGTGATAAGAGAATTCGGAACCGCTTTATCAACACGATGGAGGGAGCAGGAGTTTTTGGTTGTTCTTGAGGCAAGCAGAAGAGTATAGAAAACTCGATTAGGTCGTGATACGGTACAAATGGCGAAAGAGATTGGGTAAAACTGAGAATTCGAGTTGAAGGATTTACTATGATAAGGTCAAGCGCTGTATGTGTAGTGACACCCATTTCAGTGACAGGATGATGTGTAGGCTCAATAGAAACGACCCTAAGTGTGTGTGTATTGATCAAGTCACGCAAAGCCAGGACATGAGAAAGATCTGAGGTAAAATAATAGTTGAAGTCACCAGTAATTACAACGTCGTTGAAAAGAGGAAGAAAGGATGAGATAGTATTAAAGAAGAAGGTTGGGATTTTAGCGGATGAACGGCCGTAAACAACTGCAAATAAAAGTTTTAAGTGGCTTTTATTGTGGATTTCGGCTATAATGAATACTGGTGAGTTGTCATATATAGGATCGGAAGTAGCAACTAAATTTACCGTAAAACTATTGCGAAAATAGAAGCCAATTCCACCACCTTCCTTGCCCTCGCGATCTAGGCGGAAAAAATTATAATTGGCTAAGGCGAGGTGATCATCAGAGATGACGTTACAGAGTTTCGTTTCGAAAATGGCGATAATATCATATGCACTTATATATGCCTGGCCTGTGCTTCCAGGAAAGAGCAGTGCCATGGCACGTTCAGATCGTTTATATTGATGTGCACCATAGTTAGGGGGATTATTCACCGGGATCGGTGAATGTCATGAGGTTTCAACCGGGTCAAGGTTTGGCGACTGAGAGGAGGAGGTAGTTGTTGTAAGTAGAGTGAGGTTCGGTGGATCTGTGAGAGATCGGGAATGATAATCAGAGCGAGGAGGTCGGGGATCGTGGTGGATACCACCAAGAGGTACAAATAGTGCAGCCGCAGGGTGAGGTCGATCACCAGCTCCTATTGAGCGTGAGACAAGTTGGTGAGGTGCCAGACTCAGCAGACTACGCAGATAAGCCTCGGAGACAATGGGAATGAGCTCCGAATTCGACGTGGCATGGCTGAAGACCGGCAAGTTTCGAACCGCAAGTCATACATATTCAAGATCCTCACACACTCTTCTAGCCTTGGACAAAATCTCAAAAACAAGCTTAGGGTAGATTGGTCGCAGTAAGACTCGGGAGTTGCCTCCACAGCCAAAGATCGTCTGCGCAGTATGCTCTTTAATCCTGGGCGAACACTTAATTATTCTGTCTCGAGAGGATGGTGAATCGAGCAGGACGGTAAACGACTTCCGCCGAGCGCTATGGTTCAAGAGAGAGGATGATTGCGG